TGAAGATTGCCGAACAGATATTGAGTGGTGTAGACTTTATTTCAGCGACAGAATCCAGGAATCAATTTCCATTGTCAAACTAAGACATTCCGCCAAGAAGACAATGTCCTTAAAGACGAGACATTCTGAGATTTGACTCTCCTAATCTTTTATGTGACATTTAAATAGTTTCTATGCCATCTCTTTTTACTTCTATACCTGTAAGAAAAATACTCGAAAGCACGTCAAAATTACCCGTTTTTAATAAATAAAATTGTTATTACTAATTTTTCTTCACCTTTATTTTTTTTAGCTTATTTTGTTGAGAAATTATTGCCTATTTACTTCCCATAATACAATATTCAAAATTATTTGACAATTTTTCTGGATTTTTACGAGTCTGAATTATTCATGCTTCAATCTCTTTTCATGAACACTTTATTGACTCCACATCAAAATAGGTATGTGCGATAAAATATATACAGTAGAACCTCCCTGTAAAGGACAACACCTAATTGCAGAGCTAAATGTCCTTTAAAGAGAGGTGTCCTTTTACCGGAGAGTTGCTAAATACAGTAGAATCTCCCTGTAAAAGACTCCTAATTTCAGAGCCAAAGTTCTTTAGAGAGAGGTGTCCTCTTACCGGAGATTTGCTAAATACAGTAGAATCTCCCTGTAAAAGACTCCTAATTGCAGAGCCAAAGTGTCCTTTAGAGAGATTTTTGAGATTTAAAAATATTTTATTGACCTCATACACAAGTCAATGGTGGTATTATATAATAATTATAAAAGGGAGGCCTTCAACATCATACAACAACCACCCGACCTGCAGGGCTGGCTCTTCGGCCAAGGGCTGGATGACGACGCCCTCGCCATCGTCGCGTCTGCCAAGTCATCCATACACAGGTTCTTTCTGAGCCTTGAGATTAGGGGAGAACGTGAAAACCCCCTTACTGTCTGGAGGAGAACTCTCTGTCGTTGGGGGAATCTCCTCGACTGTACATAACTGTATATTTTTTGCTTCTTTATTTTGTCCTTTAGAGAGAGGTGTCCTTTTACCGGAGAGTTGCTAAATACAGTAGAACCTCCCTGGAAAAGACACCTAATTGCAGAGCCAAAGTGTTCTTTAGAGAGAGGTGTCCTTTTACCGGAGAGTTGCTAAATACAGTAGAACCTCCCTGTAAAAGACACCTAATTGCAGAGCTAAAGTGTTCTTTAGAGAGAGGTATCCTTTTACCGGAGAGTTGCTAAATACAGTAGAACCTCCCTGTAAAAGACACCTAATTGCAGAGCTAAAGTGTTCTTTAGAGAGAGGTATCCTTTTACCGGAGAGTTGCTAAAAGGTAAAAATAATAATTTAGCAAATGAAAACTTGTCCTTTATAGAAAGGTGTTCTCTAGCGGGTTGTCCTCTCATGGAAGTTTTACTGTAATAAACTTTTGAAAATTAAGAAATTTTGATACGAATTGGCGCTCACAAGTCAAAGATAATATCTTTTATAGGTGAAATACTGAATAAATCATTCAGATATTGTCAGTTTGAAGAGATGCTTCTGAAGAAATTGGTAATGGGGGAAACGGCCTTGTTCCAACCTAAATATGTCCTTGAAGTTGGGAGTCCCAAACTTTGGATGATGGAATGATCAAGATGAAGCACAAAGGATTGAGCCATTGTCGAAATTTATGGCCGCCTGGACTCTTCAAGTGACAAAAGCCACAGAGATCTACAACAAGAAAGAACAAGAAACTTTGAAAGTATATAATTCTAAAAAAGCTTTCCAAATTGTCTGATCATTTCAATCATTGTTGAATTTATCCTTTATAAAGGATGGTTTTCATTTTGTTTAGCTTCCTCATTGATGTAGAATTTTATCAAAGACGAAATCTTTCACACTATTATGATCATTTATTTATTCTTGATGACTTTTATCGCTTAGTTTAGCTTCCAAATATCTAATGAGATGTCCAAAATCAATTATCGCTTCCGTTATATTTGTTTTCAACTTCTTTACTGAGTTTTGGATACCATTTCTTAACGGTATTGTGTTCTAGAAGAGAATCTTTTTCCTTTCCCAACTTGTCCAGTCGATCTTCAAGGACAAGTACTTTGGTCTTTAGTTGTAACAGTTGTCTTCGTAAATCGAAAAAGTCAAATTCCATTATTTCTATTGGAGAAAAGATGGCGTAAAGATGTTTTCTCCAGTTAGATATTTAAGGAAATTTTCAACAATGGTGTTAAAGTAGTTCTCTTGCTCTTCCTTTCTAAGATTCAGGATGTTTCACATTCGTCTGTGTTCGAGAATTCTTCAGTGTTGTCTTAGAACGGCTATGGCTGAGCGCCATTCAACTAGTATCAAGCCGAATGATAAAAGAACGATTATATCTTCCAGGTTTCTAAGTGATTCGAAATTCATTGATATTACATTCGTTCTTAGAATTATCTTACAAGTAAAAAATATATTTTTAAAAATTTCATTTTATTTATTTCAATTTAAAGCGCTATGTCCCCCTAGGGACACTTACGCTGTCATACATGTATGCCTTTACATTTTTCTATACATATATATATATATAATAATTTTAAGCAGATGGCACAAGAACCTATAGGACACGCAACAACTGTCCTGGTGTGGAACTAACACCTACCCACATATTCTCATGTCCAGCAATGGCCGCAGCCTTGTAGAAAATTGACTCAGACCCAGAGCAGCAGCTTTACACACCCAAGATAATAGACATTACAACTGCTGTGATAGAGATGTATGGAGATATCTGAGGCTCTTCGTTGGACACGACAACAACAATACAGTATACACACCCAAGATAGAGGACATCATGACTGCTGTGATAGAGATGTATGGAGACATCTGAGGCTCTTCATTGGACACGACAACAGCAACAATAATTTTAAGCCGTAAAGAATAGTCATATGATATTAACAATGAGAAAGAGAGAGAAAAACGAGAACAGATAACTGTGTACAAAAGAAAGAAATGTCTTGCAATGTCTAAAAATCAACATAATATTTCAGATGTTTGTGTGTACTGTTTGCGTTGTGTGTTGTATCGGGTGTTTTTGTGCGTGTTTATTTGTTTGCGTTGTGTGCCAATCAGCAGATGGGCACACAAAAGTTAAGATGGAAAACTCGGTGTTAAAAATACAATATAAAGATAATTATTACCTCATTAAAGACCTATCTTCATTAAAGACCACAATTTTATTAATGATTTTTAAAGATACTTTTATTCTCTACGAAAAATAAAGTAAGATACTTCAATTGTCTCTAGTTAAGCTCTAGATAGGTATTGAAGAACACACGCTCAATATAAATGAGAGACCATATTTAAAGAAGTCGTCAATCCAATTCAGAAGAGAGAGAGAGAGGGAATTCCACATCATTTTAATTCCACTACTTCTCAGCCTATAAACAAGATCTGTCCACATTTCTTTAGAGCATTTCTAAATCTTTTTAACGAAGTAAACGTCTTCTCCATTAAGGGAAAGTAGGGAGTGCCATTTAGTTCTCTTTCTCTCTCTCTCGCCCTACTTTAATCTTATTGGCTGGTTCTCTCGTCTTCTTCTTCTCTGATTGATAATACCCTCCACAGTTAGTTATCTGAGCTGCCTCAAGGGCAAATTCACTTAACGTGTCAAAACCTAATTGCATATCTACCTATCTACCTTTCAATTTAATACAAGTATAGTCTTGTCCTTGCTACCTTTGTAAAAAGGATAATCTCTATCCCAAAACAGGTTTATTTAATAGAAATACAGCCTTGTCGTTGTTCTTTGTAGAAGGGAAAACTCACTTTCAAAACAGGTTCATTTATAAGGTTATCCCAAAAGTTCGATTACCGTATTGGTCAAAATTTTTCTGATAAAAAATATATATATGCTCCAATGGCCCCCGATTCTTGTAAAAGTACAACCCCACCAGTAAGTGCAAGTAACCAAACGAGGCTCTGTAAATTTGTGAGTGCAAAGTCGAACTGCCTTTCACATGTGTAGATATATGTGGTACACTTACAATAAAAGGCAGTCGCTAATTACCCACCATGATTATAATGGTCTGTACCACGTGTACGCGTAAAAAGAAATGCTCCAATGGCTCCCGATTATTGTAAAAGTCCAACCCCATCAGTAAGTGTAAGTAACCAAACGAGGCTCTTTAAATTTGTAAGTGCAAAGTCGAACTTCTTTTCACATGTGTAGATATATGTGGGGTACTTACAGTTAAAGGCAGTCGCCAACTACCCACCATGATTTTCATGGCTATAACCATGTGTAGTAGGGATAAGCAAAAAAAAAATCATAAGCATTGCCTGGCAAAATTGAAATTAGAAAGTTTTTAGAAATATTTGTCGAAATATATATTTAGAATGTTATATCTATTGAATCAACGAGCTTCGTTAACGAGCATCAATGGAAACGGTGTCATAATTAACACATCGTGAAGATAGAGGCTGCCTGGCCGGCATTCATATTTATATAAAAACTAGACGAATGACCCGGGCAACGCCCGGGTTTACCCGATTAAATGTTTTATTCAAACACTATTCGTTACAATTATAATTGGCGCCGTGGATGTCACTCTTGTGAAACGTCCCGCTCCAAACTTTACAGTCAGATTAGTTACGATATAAATCTTCAAATCGAGCGAGCGTCTATAAATATTTCGATTTAGATCAAGTATTCTAATTATTAAGCGAACTATTATTAATAAAATTTTGAGAAGATTTCGATTTTAAACGTATTTATAACCTTGATAGAGGGCGCTGTTCGTGAGCTAAGTAGAATAATTTGAATATATAGTTTTAATATTTAATTTATATATAATTTAAAATAGCCTATCGTTTTCCTCGTATTTTTTTACCTATGTATGGAAATTTTGGTTTGAATTAGTGAACTACTGCGAATTTGTATACCGGACATACAAACCAACAAACAAACATACAAACATTCATTTATATATATATATAGAAGATATAATATAAATGAGTTTTAAAAATTGTTTTAAAAAAATGCATCGGCCGGGAATCGAACCCGGGGCCGCCCGCGTGGCAGGCGAGCATTCTACCACTGAGCTATCGATGCGTATACAAAATGGCCATATTTGGGTATTCATTCCATTCCGGATTAGTCCGCGTAAAAAAATAGTTCTTCAAATTAAAAAAAGAAATAGCCAAAAATAATAAGCAAAATGTAACCAAAAATTTTCCTCAGGTTTATAAAAAGCGACATGCAAAATTTGGAACCAATTGGTTCAGTAGTTTTTGAGTTTATCGCGAAACAGACAGACAGACAGGAATTGACTTTTATATATATAGAGATAGAGATAGACACTTCGACCAGTTAGAGTTTTTTATTTTTCTCAACGTTTCGACAAACATCTTTTGTCTTCGTCAGGAGAAGTAAATAAAAATAAAGCATTTGGCAAGGCGTTAAAAATTGTTCTGAGGTTTGCAAACCTCCAAAAATAAAAAACGCCAACTGGCCGAAGTGTCTATTTTTATATATATAATTAACACATTTCCGTAATTAATGAGGTAAGGAATGATGTGGGTAAGGGAATCACTTATTGGCAAGTAGGAGATAATGTGCCGAGAGGGGCGTCGTCAGATCACCGAGTATCTAATGTGACACGTGTAGCGCACATGAAGATTTATGAATGTGCGCCTGCGCATGCTAAATGGATATGCAAATGAAGAACGATTGCATACGAGATGGAGTGAAAATGGACAGACAACCATTATGCGAATATATTGCCATAAATACGATTGAGCAACATTTTGTCATGTCTGAGAAAAAGTTGGTTTCTATAAATCCTATTGGTTTGTGATATTTGAATTGTGGTTTTTTGTAGCTTATTGGTTATCTTTGAATGTTATTCTCTTATGGGTATGTATTGCTTTCAATTTGCATAATTCTCTATCTCTCTCTCTCGCCCATCGCCCAGCTTCTGTACCGTTGGCAAGACTTTGTCAATATTCCTCTCACCGTCGGCTGGCCATCGCTTCGACGTTGCGCCTTTTCAGGGCACAATGCCGACATTGCAGTACAGCTGCACGCTCTTCCCCATCCTGCACATCCGGCCTCTGCTCGAGAGACCTGTATCGCCTGTGGCTCTAGTGATCTGACGTTGGCCCACCGCTACTGGTTCTGCTGCTCCATCAGGCCCCTCATACGGGAGGTCTTTAACATCATACAGCAACCACCCGACCTGCAGTAATACTGGCTCTTCGGTCAAGGGCTGGATGACAAGGCCGTGTCTGCCAATTCATCAATCTCACAGGTTCTTTCTGAGCCTTGAGATGGGGGGAGAACATGACTTACTGTTTGGAGGAGGACCCTTTGTCGTTGTCTCCTGGACTTTACCTAACTGTATATTGTTTACTCTTTTACTTTATCCCTCTTTTTATAATTATCATATACTACTACCATTGACTTGTGTATGAGGTCAATAAAATATTTATAAATATCAATCTCTACAATATTCTGAAAATCTTCTAAAACTTCGGATAATTTAGACAATAGACAAGATGAGATTTGTCCGTTAACGTTCTAGAGTTCAACATCTCAAAAAAAGAAAGACAGCCAACGTATAGCTGTCAAGTTACATAGAGCTATCTCTCTCTACAATATTCTGAAAATCTTCTAAAACTTCGGATAATTTAGACAATAGACAAGAAGAGATTTGTACAATAGCGTTCTAGAGTTCAACATCTCAAAGAAGAAAGACAACCAACGTATCGCTGTCAAGTTACATAGTGTCCTCTCTACAATATTCTGAAAGACTCCTATATGAGGAAAATATAATCAGGAGAAATATCATGTTCGCGGTTCTATACCGCAATGATAGGAATTTTCTCCTCGAGCGACTCTCGCCTGAAAACAAGATTATTCTCTCTAAATTCCTCAACATTGTCATCTAGCATGTTGGGGACAAGAAATCCAGAATTGACAAGGGTCTGTCTAAACTCAAGACGGCTTTAAGCTCCTGATAGGATCCAGACGTCCCTTCAGAGAAGGCTTCGTCTGTTGTACATATTTCTCTTTTTATTTAAAACTCTGTAAAATCTCTTTTTGACTGTTGACTAGATGTCAATAGACTATTTTTAATTGGAAATTGTCTACAATATTCTGAAAATCTTCTAAAACTTCGGATAATCTAGACAATAGACAAGAAGAGATTTGTACGATAACGTTCTAGAGTTCAACATCTCAAAAAAGAAAGACAGCCAAAGTCATCTACTATGATAGACATCTTAATTACGTTATAATATTTAGATAGAAATAGTGTTCGATTTATTCGCACGATGATTTGTTTATCAACTGTCACATGACCTTAGCTAGCCAATCAGGGTTGAGATAATAAAGTGATAATGATTGTCCGCATCGAGGTGATAAAATTCTTATTTCGAATTTCAGATTTTCTTCTTTTTTTATTGTTGCTACACAAACTTTGTCCACATTATAAAAAATTCCATACCTCAATAGAAACAGAATGCTACCTAACCGATGATTTCCCTTTACCAGTTAAACGATGTATAGCTCAATCGAGAATACTATTTACAGTCTTAAAAAACCACGTTCTGACGTTTGAGGCCAAAAATTTAATATGTACACTGTGTGTCAAGGAAATTACTGAAGAAGTCCCCCATTACCTGCTTAATTGTACAGCCCTTGATGCAGAGAGGAAGGCCCTATATCAACAAATTAAATATACCAACACTTCACCCTACGTATTGCTTTCAAAAATATCAGCAAACAAATCTAAGGCAATAGCTTACTATAAATTTTTTAGATCATCATTATGTAAGGACCAGTCAACAAGTGAATGACTTTGAGACGAAGAGTAAAGCCAGTTCAATTTCTATGTAAATAACACAAGATGATTATTACCTTACCCAATTGGGAGAATCTGTATGAGGCAAGTCTCTAATAAAGGCTTTTTTGTGTGTTATTGTTGCTACACACACTATATTTTATCATTTTTATTTGTCTAGAGTTTAAAATCAAAATTATTTTTCAAGGTTTTAAATTTATATTTTGATATTGACTGGCGATTCTCCACCAAACTCTGCAGCGATGGCAGAGACGCCATATTCATTGTACATAGTATGATACATATATATATAATTATAATTTTAAAATAGTGAAAACTGTGAACTTTTGCATGTATTGACAAGATGTCAATAAAATTATTTTAATTGTCAAAAATCGTCTATATAGTCCCAATTTTATTACCAGTTACAAATAAGACACGCTATATCCGATCTGGATAATTGCGCGTGAAACTATTTACAATAATTGTAGTATAGTAGGTAACACACAGAATTATCAAAAAGAAAATGAACAATTAAGAAAAAAGAGCATTGAATAAACATATACATTAAACAAATAAGCAACAACATAAGCAGATAGAAGAAATAGCAAGGTAGTTATTCACAATATGTTAAGCAATGATGGAAGTTGATTTAATTTATATAGTTCCAATGGTCTAATGACTACGTTCTGCCAAATCTACCCGGAGCCAATCAAACGATCGAAGTCAATCACGTGGCCATGAGTTGGTCATCAGAGTAATTAATCACGTGCCACCTGTGACCAATCACGGCTGACAGATTGCGTCCAATCGGATGATAGATGCATACGTACGATGATGCCTCGTCAACGAATATTCAATACCTTTTAAGGTCAGTCATGTAGACCGTTCATTACACTTTCTACCAGGAACTGGAGAAGATGAAATTTTTCAAAGTAAAAGTTAGAATATTCGTATTTGGATAGACCACCGAAAAAAAACACCTATTATAAGGTTTGTTATATTGACTTATCCATTGATGAGCTCTACTCATTCCCAGCACAGACTCCATCAACAAGCTCTACAAGCTTGATACCCTGATATGATTGAGTGGAGATAAGAAAGAAGAAGACAATATTGACTGTATTGACTCATCCATTGATGATTTCTACTCATCCCCGGCACAGACACACAGACACTATCAACAAGCTTTACAAGCTTAATAACCTGATATGATTGAGTGGAGATAAGAAAGAAGAAGACACTATTGACTGTATTGACTCATCCATTGATGAGCTCTACTCATTCCGAGCACAGACACCATCAACAAGCTCAATACCCTGATATGATTGAGTGGAGATAAGAAAGATGAAGACTCATCCCCAGCACAGACACCTTCAACAAGCTCTACAAGCTTGATACCCTAATATGATTAAGTGGAGATAAGAAAGAAGAAGAGACTTATCCTCAGCACAGACACCATCAACAAGCTCTACAAGCTCAATACCCTGATATGATTGAGTGGAGATAAGAAAGAAGAAGAGACTCATCCTCAGCACAGAGAGCATCAACAAGCTCTACAAGCTTGATACCCTGATATGATTGAGTGGATATAAGAAAGAAGAGACTCATCCCCAGCACAGACACCATCAACAAGCTCTACAAGCTTAATACCTTAATATGATTGAGTGGCGATAAGAAAGAAGAAGAATAATCTTATTTTCAGATAGAGACTTCGTGGTAAATTTATGTAATTGTCTTAATAAAGGCTTTTGTTTGTGTATAATCAGAGTCGAAATGCTGTCTAAATACAAGGTTGTCTCAAAAGTTAGTAAACCTATTATACTTTATATTTTGCAAGTGTTTACGAAATTTTGGGACAACCTTAGTAATATTGGTAACCTTACTAAAATTATAACAGAATTCTTATAGAAGAATGATTTAATCTCTGATGTTCTATATCAAGGGTGGTCAATGAGTAGGTGGGCCAAGTTTCAGAATTATAAGGTTGTCCCAAAAGTTTATAAACACTTGTAAAATATAAACAATATGTTTACAAACTTTTGTGGCAACCTTATATATGTTGTGCACTTAGCGTGGTAAGAGTCGTAACACTCCATTCATAATTATCGTGGAATTGTGTTATCTTTGTATACCTACAAGCCACACAGATGACCTATAGAGACAGAGTCAATTAGAGAAAGTGACAGGAGATTGACATGCATAACAGTTGTCTGTCTTTATAATCCTGAGCTAAGCGACATACAATCTAATGCATCAATGACCCTTT